TTTTTTTTTTTATTTCCTCCCGGGTAACCACGCTGACAAATAAACGCCGCAGCCCCTACAGCCCCCGGCCCGGCTCCGGGCATCAGCCTCCCTTCGCCTTCTTCTCCCGGCCGTGACACGCAGCGCTGGGAGGGGTAACGGGGCCACGCAGGGATCCCCCCGCTGCCGCGGGGCAAAGCCACGTTCCGCCCCCGCGGCGGGGAGTGGAGAAGGGGAAGTGGGCTGCAGGCGGGGGCGGCCGGGCGCGGCCGGGCTGCGGGTGTCGGCGGGCCCCAGGCGGGTCCGGTCCGCGCGGCGGCGGGGTTGGGGCTCGGCAGGCTCGGGTGCGCCTGGGGACATCCTGTGATGCTGCAGCGCACAGGACATGATCTCACATGGCGAGGGGCTCCGCGGCTTCTTAATCATTTCACGGTTCCTTCAGAGGCTTTTTTCCACCTAAAACGTTTAGTTTCAGCTCAGTGAGCGGCTGCAAAAGCTCTGCGGGGAGCGGAAGGGTTGAATTATTCTGACCTGAGAGAGCCACGAAAAAAAAAAAAAGAGAGAGAGAGAGAAAAGAGAGAGAGAGAGAGAGAAAAGGAAAAAAGGGAAAAGAGAAGAAAAGTGAAAACCAGAAAAGAATAAAAGAGAGAACGTGAAGAAAAGATAAAAAGAAAAGAAAGAAAAAAGAAAAGAAGAGAAAGAAAAGAAGAGAAGAGAAAGGAAAAGAAAAGAAAAAAAAGAAAGGAAGAGGAAATAAAGGAAAAAAAGAAAAGAGAAGAAAAGAAAAGAAAAACGAGAGGAAGGCAGCAACACACTACGTGCAAACTTTTTCTGTCTCCTTCCACCAACTCCTCCAGGATCGCAATGGATTTGGAGAAGATCTATGCGGCCCCGCGGCCCGGGCGCACAGGTACTGAGCGGAGCGGCGGAGGGAGCGGGGGAAGCAGCGGGCGAGGAGCGCAGAGAGGCCCCGGCCCTCTCGGAGCCGCCGCCAGCGTGGTGAACGGTGCCGTGGGGGGAGCGGCGGGGCGGGGGAACGGGGCCGTGCGGGAGCCTTGCGGACTGCGATGAGCAATGCGATTCCGCACCGATCGATGGGGCCTTTATTGGTTAAATCGCCCGAATAATCGCTCCGTCGATATCGCACTGCACTGCCGCGCCCGGAGCGCCGTCGGGGGGGAGGGAGGAGGGGGCGGCGGGGGGCGGCGGGGGGCGGCGAAGACCGCTGCACCGGGCCGCGAGGCTGCGGGAGGGGCGCGGTGCGGGGTGCTTCCCCGGCCCCCGGCCCGCACTGCCCGCCGCCCGCTGCCAGCCCGGCGCACGTTCGCTCCCGACGAACGCTGCCACGCCGCAGCGGGCGGCGGTCCCGCGGGGGGTCCCGGCCCCGGTCCCGACGGGGAGGGGTGACCGCTCTCCCGGACCTGGCGGCGGGCAGAGCCCCGGGTCCGCGGGCAGGGAGCGCGGGTACGGCTTGGGCTGGGCGCGCCCTCGGGGCCCGGAGGGCGGAGGTCCGGGGCGACCCCGGAGCGGGGCGGGGCGGGGCGGGGCGGGGCCCGGGACACGCCGCTGCCGTCGGGGAAGGCCCCGCCCCCTCGGCCCCGCCCCGCTCCGCCCGGCTCGGCACCGCCCACGCCCCCACGTCCCTATTGGCCCGCGGTCAGCCAATGGGCGCCGGCGCGGTGCGGCGGCCAATGCTGGCGCCGCAGAGCTAAGCGCTACGATTGGCCGCGGACGGTGAGTGACGTGCGGAGCCCCGCCCCGCCTCGCGTTTCGCCGCTGTCCGGCGCCGCGGTGCTGAAGAGACTCCCGCCGCGCTTCCTCCGCGGGTGCGGGCTGGCGTGTAGCGCGGCCGGGGGGCAGCGCTGGGCCGGAGAGCCGGGCGGGGCCGCGGGGAGGCGTCTGCGGCAGCCCGCCCCCCCCCTCGCCCTCCCCCCCCCGCCCCCGGCCCGCCCCTTCCCCGCCGCCCCCCCACCCGGCACAACCCCGCGGCGCCGGGGGCGGGCAACGCGGGGCGCGACGCTCGGCTCCGCGGCATCACCGCGACGGCACGGCGGGCGGAGGCGGGCGGTTCGCTCCCCACGCTGCCGGTGCGGCCCCGACGGCGGCAGCCGACGGCCCCGCCCCGCCCCGCGCCGCGCGCCCCCCGCCCCGCCCACGCAGCCGCCACAAGTTCCCGCAACTCGCGCGGCCCCGGACGCGGGGTGCTCCGCGCTCCGCCCGCAGCTCCCAACGCCGTCGGGGCGCACCGGGACGGCCGCCCCCAGCCGCCGCCGCCGCCGCCGGGGCCGCGCGGTCCGCGGGTGTGGGGGCGGCGGTCGCGCCCCGCGCCCCGCCCGAAGGCGGCGGAAGGAGCGGGCGGCGCCGCCGTTGGATGCCCGCTCGCCGCGCCGCTCGCTCCTCTCTCCCACGCCATCAGCCCGCGATCTCCGCTCGCGCTGAGCGCCGCCGCTGCCGCGAGGTGCGCTCCGCGAGGCCGCCGGACCGCCCCGATGGAAATACACTGTAAGCACGACCCGTTTGCAGCAATGCATAGTAAGTAGGCTGCCTGCCCCCTCCTATGGCGCGCCGGGCACCGGGCGCTGCGGGCGCGCTCCGAGCTCCACAGTCCGCGGGGCGCAAACGGAACCGCGCGTTGCGGCCGAGTGGGAATGGCGCGGGGCCCCGATGCCGCTCCGCGCCCCGTGCGGGGATGGTGCGGGAGCGTTGCTTGGCGGAACCCCGCGCGGACTGGAGCGCTGACAGCGGGCGGCGGCGGCGGGCGCTTTGTTCCCGGGTTCGTTTTGATTCTGATTTATTTTTCCTGGGATTTCTGCTGCGGTAGAGAAAGCCTCTCACGCTCATATACTCACGCACGCTCCAAACTGTATTTTTTCTTTTTTAAATTATTTATAATCCTCTTCGATCTGTGACTCGCGGCTACACGCACACAGGATATATGTACATATACTCCGAAAGGAAACCCCAGGGAGAAGCGCTCCCGGCGCTGCCTCCGGACGGAAAAGTTTCCCGAGCGATATTGCCAAACATTTTGATGCGCATTCATTAAACCAAAATAAACGCGGCAGCGCGGAGGAAAGAGCCGCTGCTCTGTGCTTCGCGCCGGAGAGAGCGGCGGAGCAACGGCGGAGCGCGGGGCCGGCGTGGCCGTGCCTTTCTCCGGGTGCGGGGAGAGCGATCGTCGGGCGCGGCGCGGTGCCACCGCAGTGCGCGGTGCCTTCAGTGCTGCGTTACGGCGGGAGACGTTGGGGCAGAACGAATCTCATTTCTCGGTGCGCCACGGCCCTTTCAGTGCCAGAAATTTGTTTTCGACATAAAGCGCCGAGAGCGAGGGCAGCGGGTCTGCGCCTCTTCCCTTTCCGCCTCCCGCTCTCGTTTCTCCCCGACCGTCCCCTCTCCGTCCGCGGTCCGGGAGGCGCCGAAGCAGCAGGGCGCGGGCGGGACGGCCTCCGCCTTCCCCCAGAACGGCGCTTCTTAGAGCTTTTTTTGTGCCTCGGGCGAATCAAACGACACTTCAAAAGGGAGAACTCCAGGGGCGCCAACAACGCGCTGTCCGGTGCCGCGGGGCCGCGGAGCTCACGGAGTGTCCCGGCGGAGGGCTCCGGGTGCGGGAGAAGCGCTACCCCGCACTCAGCCACAGCTGCCGGAACGAGCTTCTGCTTCGGGAATTCGGTTGAAAAAGGAAAGAGAAAAATCTCTTCCCTCGCTCTCACCCCGCAGCCGCTCACGGGAAGATCGCAGCTCTCTTCATCCTCCAGCTTTCGCTTTGCTCCGCGCGGAGGGGCTGAGGGACGCGGAGAGGGGGGACCGGGAGGGAGCCAGTGAACGCGGGGCCCCGGAGTGCCGTGCGGGCTCCGCCGTGCGGCCCCGATCCGAGCGGCGGCACCCGGGACTCTGGCGGGGCGTCCGCTGCCGGGGGTGGGAGCCGGGGCCGGCCGGGAGCGCAGCGGCACTGCCGGCCCTATGCAGGAGCCACCCGCAGCCTTTGTTCGTGGCGACTGCGGGGTGTGCGGCTGCACGGCCAGCCGGCCTCGGGGTTGCGTCCGCGCCTGGAGTGAGACCGAGCCCGTGTCCAAAGAAATCCATCCTTCTCTTCCTTTTCTTCTTTCCTTTCTTTCTTTTCGTTCTTTCTTTCTCTTCGTTTTGTTTCCTTTTTTTTTCCCCCCTCTCATTTCTTCCTTCCTTTCTTTCTTTTAGTTCTTTCTGTGCCTTATTTCTCTATTATTTCCTTCCTTCCTTCCTTCCTTCCTTCCTTCCTTCCTTCCTTCCTTCCTTCCTTCCTTCCTTCCTTTCCTTCCTTTCTTCCTTCCTTCTTTCCTTCCCTATTTCTCTCTTTCCCACTTTCTTCCTTTCTCTCTTTCCTTCCTTCCTTCTTTCTTTTCTGTTTCTTTCTCCCTCTTACCTCCATCCCTTTCCCATCCTCCCTCACCCGCAGATTTTCACCATGGCACTGAGCACATTGCCTCTGTTTTCCTATATCGAAAGCCGCCGATAGGTGCCGAGCTCGGTGTCCCACTCATTTCCACGTTGAGATGTTGACCCCACGTTTTGCCCTCGCTGAAGCACTGCGTTTCTTTCCCAGCGCAGTAGCGCAGCAGTTCCCGGCCCTCCCGGAGTTGCTGCAGTTCCCGGGCCGCCGCGGTGCCCCAGTCCGCTCCGGACACGGCTGGGATGGTACATCCAGGGCTCGGCCCGGCCGCGGGGATGGGACGCTTCCACCGCCGGTACAGGCGGAGCTGCCCTCGCCCCGCAGGTTGCAGGAAGCACGCATCTCACGTGGATTAATTATGTGCCTTGACAGTTTTAGAAGGTCTTGGCGAAGTTTGACATCAATATATCAACGGAGAAATGACTTTTAAAAAAATTAAAATAAAAATAGCTTTTTATTCTTTACTTGTTTTTTTAATTTTTTTTTTTTTTTTTTTTTTTTTTTTTTTTTAACTCCACGGAGGCATTTGACTTGCCAGTTTATTCGGGACCGTTCGGAATCCCTGTGCAAACAGGGAGATTTTCTTTTATTTTTGTTCCAGCATTGTCACCCGCGCTGCCCGCATTGTTTGTTTTCAGTTTCTCCACTCCGCAGCCTGAGTAATTCGAATGGTTAGCACTACGAGGGCTAATTGCATTTTCTGACTTGGCGGACGGAGTGCTGCCTTCACGTTCTTGGGTTTTACGCAGCTCCACCGCTTCGTCTGAGCAGCCCCGTGTCCCGCCGGGCGCCTCGCTAAGGAAGAGCAGTGCCAACCTGCTGCAAAACGAGCGGCGCGCCGGGCTCGGTTCGGCGCTCACGTTTCATTTGTGGGATGGTAACAAGCTAAGAGCGCGATAAATTGCTACGCCTGAAGCCACTCTGTTTTTCACTCTCGATTAACTCCAGCAATTTGGGGGGGAAAGGGGGGAACCAAAAAACAAAACAAAACAACAAAAAAACAACCAACAAAAACCCAACAAAAAAACAAAAAACCCGACGCGTTTAATTTCGGGGACCCCCCGAACAAACAGCGATCGCAGGGCTGTAGGAGCCCCGGGCCGTGCGGCGCTCGGAGGAGCGATGTTCCCACGGCCGGGCCGGGGCTCTCGCTGCGCTCCCGCTGCCGTTTCCCCAGCGGAGGGCCGCGGACCCCCCGCGTTGCGGGGCTGCGGGGCTGCGGGGAGCGCGGCCACTTCCGCGCCGGAGGGAACGCCGCGTGGCTCGGGCGGATCTGCCGGCGCCGAGGGCGGCCGCAGGGAAACGTGTCCCGCTTCTGACCGATCCGCTCTTCTCCTGCCCCTTCCCCTCCCCGTGTGTTGCAGGACACGGAGGTGTGAACCAGCTGGGGGGCGTTTTTGTGAATGGCCGCCCCCTGCCCGACGTCGTCCGGCAGCGGATCGTGGAGCTGGCGCACCAGGGGGTGAGGCCGTGCGACATCTCCAGGCAGCTCCGCGTCAGCCACGGCTGCGTCAGCAAAATACTCGGCAGGTACGGAGCGGGAGGGCATCCCGGGCCCAAGGTGGGGACGGGACTCGCGATGGCCGCTCCGGGTTTTGCGAGCCCCACGCGGAAAAGAAGTGCGCTTTGTATGCTTTGCTCCTCTCACAGCCTCTAACGGGCAATGCTAACGCAAAGCACGTTGTGCCACATGTGCCAGTTCTGCCGTGCTCAGCATGCACCCCACACCTGTCTGCTCTGAGCACATGGAAACCCAGGGGTCGTCTCCAGCAAGGAGAGGAGATGGAACAGAAGTCACCAGGCTGCGTGCTGGAGAAAACTTCCTCTGGGCGGTTCCACCGCTCTGATGGCCAGGACGTGCCACCTGCCTGCTCACACACAGCCCTCTCAGAAATCCACCCCACTGCTCAGTTTGTGTCCTCTCCTACTCCTGTGCTGGAGCATGAGATCATGGAGTACCATGAACTCTACAAACGGCCTTAGGTTGGGTCCTTTTGGAAGTGTCTTTCCGTTCAGACCGAGTTTGCTCAGATCAGTGTGGTGACAGCACATTACTCCCCAAGTTCATGATATTTCCTGGTTCTGGTTCAAAAGCTGAAACTGATTCTGTTTAAGAATGCTGTAAGCACCATACAAACATGGACATCGTGTGCATAAACATAAACATCATGTGTAAAATTTGGAGCTACCCATCTATTTTATATTAAGGATTTTTTTTTTCTTATAATGTATTTTTCGTGATAATTTCAAACAGTTGCTTTCTCAGATATTTACTAAACTTTAACAGTTAGCTTTGTTGGATAACATTTTACTGTTTGTATTTGTGCCCTCCTGCTCTTTCCCAGTTTTTGACCAATTTCCCTCACTGACCATAAATAGATGCAGAGGCTGTCAGCACTTTTTGGTAGCATGGGATCCGGCTCAGATTAGCAGCGTTTGTGATCTCTCAGTGACTTAAGTGCTCAGAAGCAAATGTGCTTGCTGTAGTCATGGGCCCCTGGTTTCATAGATGGCAGCATTCTTGTCCCCATAGCGTGCTGTTATCTGCAGTCAGCTTATAGCTGCTGGGTGCTATCTGCATGCCCTGCATGGAGTGCTCCTGGAGGGCTGCAAGCTGCCGCACCGTGCTTCCACTCTCAGTCCTGTGCCTCAGTTGCACAGAGGCACTCTGGTGCTGGCTGCATGCGTCCCTCTGGGCTGATGCTGGAGTGGCCGTAGAAACACCACCAGCTTTTACCCTTAGAGATGGAAACTCCCCTTGGGTTTCCCATGAGCCCACCCATAGACTGCTCTGCTCCTACGGAGCATTGTGCCTTGCGCTCTGCAGGCCTCTGCTCCAGGTGTGGTGGGGAGGTTTGCTTGGTGCTGTGAATGTCCAGACAGACTACAGTCCAGGCGTACTGAAGAATGGGCGATGTGTTGATGGGGACAGAGTCTCGTGCTTTCACTGCTGCAGGTTGGAACAAATTTATCACTGGGCACATCTGCAGCACAGAGCCGGTAGTGAAGCTCCAAAGCTTTGCCATTAAAGTTGTCAAAACTAAATTGGAATTTCATACCTCATTATTTTCGTAGCTAATAATTACATTGGGTAAAATGTCACTGTAATTGGAGCTGTGTGTGTGTGTGTTTGTGTGAAAACTGAGGACCCCTGTGAAGCACGACTGCCCCTGGGCCTTCTGTGGATGGGATGCGGCTGTTGTAGCTAGGCTGGCCCCAGAGTGGAGCTGGGATGGCGTGCTCCATGCAGCCCTCCTTTGCCTTCTGCTGCTCCTGCGCGGGCAGAAGGCAACAACAGAAGTGTCACAGCTTACCAGGCACCCATGGTGACCGCAGGCTGAGCGTGAGAGCAGGCTCTGGGTATGAGAGCAACCTGCTCTGAGCACGTGTGTGTTGCTGTGAAGCTCAAGGCAGCTGGGGCTGGCTGGCAGGTAGTGGTTTGGGTGCTTGGCACTGGGTTGTCCCTGTCTGGATCACTCCATATTCCTGTCCTACATCATGACCACCTGGGCTGTCCCCAGCAGCAGGGCTGAGCCGTGGGACATTGTGCACAGAGCAGTAGGGCAGTGTGGCAGGAAAACCCCGAGGCATGTTTGTCACATCTGTGGTGATGGCTGGTATTGAGAAAATGACAGCGTTCTGTTCCACCAGCGTGCACTGCACAGCTTTTCTCCATGTCCTTTCTTAGCAGAGAGATGACACCAGAACAGGGGATGAAACCAGGGATGCAAGGCTCAGGGAGGTTTGTTGTCCAAGTGTACCATCATTTTATGGAAACTAAATGGGAGAGCAGCTTAACTGCACCCTTGTTGCACTAAAGTATGTTGCTGGGCTGGGTTTAGGAATGCCCAAGGGTTGATCTGTCTTTGACACTTGAAGCTGCCCATTACAAATACTGCCTGAATGGCTGCTGAGACCGAGTCTGCATCTGCACCCAGAATGTCTGCAAACGTGCACAAACGGTGCAGTGCCAGTGCTGTGCAGAAGCTGCATACAGAGCCCTCCCTGAAAGACAGAGCCAGCAGCCTGGCAGAAATCTGAGCACTGCTGTATGTTACAGTCAGACAGACTTTGGCTGTGCAGCCTGTTTGTGTTCTGCCATGCTGGAAATACTTCAGAATTTATTATTGTTATCATCATGATTTTGGATATAATGGTTATGTCAAGTAACTGTAGAGAAAATACACTGATTAAAACAAAACAAAACAAAAAAAAAACCCAACAACCTGCTGTTCTTATCTGAGAGTCTCTTCTGAGCTCCTTATGAGCAATAGGGGCACAGAGCGATCAGTGGGTGAGTTGAGGCTGTAAGGGAGCACAGCTCAGTGGTCGCTGGTTGGAAGGGGCAGCTTGGACAATGGCTGTAGAGACTGCAGATTTGTGTTTCATCAACAAAATTCACAGGCTACCAAAAAGTGCACAACCCCCAGAACACTGTGTCTGTGTTGTGCTCCCCGGGTGCTCAGCGTGATTTCACTCATCGTCTCCCTCCTGCTCCTCAGTGGATGAGACATGACATTTTTAACAACATTTTCAAGGCTTTCCTTATTAAAAGAGAGAGATGTGTGGGGCTGAGGATCCCAACTGCCACGCTTTGTTGCAGTCCTGCTAAAAGCAGTTGTGCCTGTGTGATTTGCATGCAAAAAACATCCATCTGGCATATTTTGGTCAGTGTCAGGACTCTGTCCTACCTGCTTTGCTTGTATGACACCAGCAGAACTGTTTGCACGTGTAGAAATCGTGTCTGTGAGGAAGGATTGCAGAGCTGGCCAGAAAAAACAAACCCCCAAACTAGCTGAGCCCGTTGGCAACACCAAGAGCTCCCCTTTCCTTAACATTTATCATCTGAACTATTGAAAGAATCATATTAAAAATATACCCGTTATGAAAAACATTAACTATTAAAGCGGTAGCATCCGTATTAAAGCCATAAAATGTGGAAAAGGTATGCCAGCATATTAATGTGCAAATAGAAGATGATCTCATGGCCTCGCTTCACGAAGAAATGCTAACAAGTTGTAGATGCTGGTGGCAGAGTATTTCCTTAGATATGAGAATTGACTGCAAAAAGTGGTCTTCGGTGAGATTTGTTTCTGTTATTGCCAGAACCTCTGATTAATTGCACACATTTTCAGTTAATTTTGGATACCAGCACGCCCTTTAATCTTGCATTGTTTCTTTTGTCTTTCTGTTATGAAAAAATATCTGTTCTATCCTACGGCCCAGTTCCAATTACTATAAGTTAATCTATTAGGTGATAAAGCACTACATAGGCAGAAAATGTGTATGCGAAAGTGAAGATGTATCTTAGGATTTGCTGGGGTTTGGTTACCTTGAAATTATGTTCTCTATAAATCTCGGAGCGTGCCTTCTGTCTGCCTGTGATAACTGAAGATTTGCTTTGGATGTTGTCCCAGGTATTACGAAACCGGGAGCATTAAGCCTGGAGTGATTGGAGGATCAAAACCAAAGGTCGCCACACCCAAAGTCGTCGAAAAAATTGCAGAGTACAAACGCCAAAATCCCACCATGTTTGCCTGGGAGATCAGGGATAGGCTCCTCGCGGAGCGGGTGTGTGATAACGACACCGTGCCCAGCGTCAGCTCAATTAACAGGTGAGGATTTGTACGGTCTTGGGAAGGGGCTTTCCTAGGAAATGCAGTCACCGAATCCTCATTTGCTACTAGAAGCCAGGGTGTGTTGTACTGTCTACTCAGCATGCAGTCTGCGTGCGTTTCAATGCCATGTTTAGGGCTGCGGAGCAGCCGTGGGGTCACTCTGGTGGTGAAAGCATCACAATCATCAGCGTTTCCCAGGAGCAAGCAGGCTGTGCTATTGGCCTTTGCTTCCTTTCTGCCCTTTCCCATTCTCCTGCCCGTGACTTGCAGTTCTTGCTGGTAAAGATCTATGTTTTCTGGATCCCTCTCAGTGGGAAATGCTTCCGCTCAGAGAACCCAGCTGCGCTGGGTGCTGGTGGTGACCTGGAGGAAGACCGGCCCCTGTGTTCCTTGGAGAAGCAGACCCAAAGCATGGCTCTCAAGGTCTTCCTGTCACCTACTGAGTATTGCTGAACCTGGCTCAGAATCATGCTGGCTGCTGTCTGGTACTGTCAGCATGAATATAACCAGGGAAACGTGGTTTGGTAGTGTCCGCGTGCTGAATGGAATTGCTTGAGTCGCCTTGAACTCCTCTGTGTCAGTGCAGGAGAATTTCCTGTTCCCATGTTTGTGAGATCTTTCCTGGCACGGCTCGGCAGCACCGGCCTCACTTGCAGTTCTGAAGCTATGCTAATCTGCTTCCATCCCAGTCAAGGATCGTCTAAGGCTGTCACTGAAAAAGCACAGAGAAATACTCTGCTTTGTCTGCAGTCTTCCTGGTCTGACGATAAGGGATTAACACTTGGAAGGAGAGCACTTCATCACCCTCCTGCACACCAGCAAGCAGAGTCCTTTTGTTTTCTCTTGGGAGTATGTTTCCTACCAGGTTTTGGCTTCACTGCTCTTCTGAGATATTTCTCACTTGCATGATTTCGTACAAATTTTTTGAGTCCAGATAGCTGTAAAGTCCCACCTGTGTCCATGGACATGAAATAGACTGATGCAGTGTTCTTTCATCGACTATCCTGACTTGATTTGCATTCATGGAGTACCTGCTTGAGCAGCAGGAGTGGCTTCCCCAGCAGCAGTGCAGAGTACTGTCTCTGTCTTACCAAACTGAGTTATCCATCCATATGGTTAAGGGCAAAAATGGGTCAGTTTGCTCAGCCTTTGCTACTGACTGGAAGTTCCTGTCTAACTTAGACCCCAAAACATCATTTAGTAATGTTATGGGCACGGAATCACAGAACTGTAGAATTTATGGGTGGAAGGGTCCTCCAGAGATCACTGAATCCAGCCCCTGCACAACAGGCTCCCTACAGCAGGCTGCACAGCTGGGCATCCAGGTGGCTCTGGAACATCTCCAGAGAAGGAGAACCCACAGCCTCCCTGGGCAGCCTGTTCCAGAGCTCCCTTGTCCTCCTCACCATGAAAAGTTCCTTCTCATATTGGTATGGAACTTCCTGTGCTCCAGTTTATGGCCATTTCCCCTTCCCCTGTCCCCACAGACAGCTGACAAGAGGTTGGCCACATCCTTTGCAATCCAACACTTCAGATATTTATGAACGTTAATCAGATCCCCTCTCAGTCTTCTTTCCTCGAGGCTGAACAGACCCAGCTCACCCAGCCTTTCCTCACAGGAGAGATGCTCCAGGCCCTTTATCATCCTCATGGCCTTCTGTTGGACTCTCTCCAGGAGATCCCTGTCTGTTTTTGTACCAGGGAGCTCAGACTGGACAAAATATTCTAGGTGAGGCCTGACCAGGGCAGAGCAGAGGGTTGAGGATCACCTCCCTTGCACTGCTGGCCACGCTCCTTTTAATGCACCCCAGGATCCCATTGGCCTTCTTGGCCATCAGGGCACACTGCTGGCTCACAGCCAACCTGTCATACACCAAACCCCCAGGGACGTGGCATTTTCAGTTCAAAAAACAATCTGAGGCATGGTATGGACACCATGAAAAGTGAAGGAAAATCCCATCCCGGCTGTTTACAGATAACAAAGGGTAAACTTGGGCTCAGTGATCCTTGTGGGTCCCTTCCAACGCAGCATATTCTGCAGTCCTATAGTTCTATGAATTTTTGCTTTCATAAAAGTCAGCTCGAGTCCTGTTGTGTCAGAAGCATGGCTGCTGCTATGAGTAGTACTTTGTTTATGTAGCGATTCTTCAAGCTCCGTCCAAAAGCCCACCAAAAAAAAGCAGTGAGATCTTAGGAATGCAGTGGGACTACATACGTTCCAGTTGTATTTTGATCCACTTTCCATAGCCCGCCTCCTGCTGCATCCTCGAATGCTTCTACATTGGCAATGTCCACACGCTCATTGGCATTGCATCAGAAATCACATTTAATGATCTATTGCCAAGTTATTTAGGTGGAAATCTCATTCTTTCTCATCTGCTTGCAACTCCAGTGAAGAACCTTCCCTTTTCTTAAAGATGTGAAGCCCCTTTTGAAATGCACATGGTCCTTGACAGTCAGTCTGTTTAGAATTGCTTTTGCCAGCCCAGGAGAATATCTTGAAAACCCAAACTGAACCTCTGTGACAAGATCACGGAAATTATGTCTAAACACTTGGCTTTAATGGTAACTCCTCTCATTTTTGTGGCACGGTTGGTGGGGTCTGGCCTTACACACATCAAGGCTTTGTGGATTGGGCTGTCACACACTGGGGGCATGAACTCCTACTCTGAAGACACAATGCCTTATTCAGCCCTGTGGTGGAAAGCCAATGTTGCCCTCTGGCTGATGAAGTGAACCCTCACCAGGAACCACTCAGGATGTTTGCCATCTTGGTGGAGGCGAGTTGACCAAGCTTCTTGCACAGCCTATGCATACAGGGCAGGAGAGACCTGCAGTGATGTTCCACCAGCTGTGCTTCTGCTGTGTGGAGGAAGGTGATTCCCAGGGCTTATGCTGGTGTCCAGAGCTGCTGTTGCTGCTGGAAGACTGAGGGGACAGAGTGCTGCACTGCAAAGCCATCGTGATGGATCACGGGTAGCACGTCCCTGCTATGGAGGGTACATTTCAGCAGAGTTGCTGCCATCTTATACGAGTGAATAATAAACTACTGTTATTAATTAGTAACATTAATTAATATTAATAGTAGGCCAATCCTCTGCAGCAGGAGCAACTCCACGCGACTTTGGCTTAATTAATCACTATGATTAGCTTTGCTCAAATAAGCTGCCCAGCTGCTTTGACATGCTCCAGTCCCTGGTCTCCCCAGAGATGAAGAGATTTTTGTGTCAGAAGGCCTCAGACACCCTTCCTTTGCTGGAGCACGGAGGAAGCCTAGGGCAGGGTGCTGTTTCCATCTTGCTCATACAAGGACCTTGGGCATCTTTGGTGTGCGTGCCCCCCCCCCTCCAATTTAGTTGCAGAACTGCCTGTAGCTCCCACATGCAAGCGGCTGCTTTGTCCCACGAAGGGGAGGAAGAAGCAAGAGAGCCATCACTAAGGAGTCTGCAGATGCCCAACTGCAGGGTGCTTTGCTTTGGTCCTGGCTGCCTGGTGCTAACTTGCTTTTGAACGTCGCCCTGCCGGACCTCTGGCAGCTCCCCTCCCACCTCCCCTCGTCCAAATTCAAGGCAGGCAGAAATGGTAAAGGAGTTTGCTAGGTAAACACGGAGAAAATGCTTACCGCAGCATTACTGCTGCGTGAACAGCGCATAAAACAGAGACGTGCGATGTGTCTGAGGAGCGTGCCTCGCTCAAGCACATTTTGATTCCGCCGCAGTCTGTGGCAGAGCTGTGTAATCCCTGGAGCGGCTTCAGACCACGTCTTTTCTTTTCTCGCGGCGTGTCGGCAGGTGAGCATTTGATAGAGCACTTCTTAGCAACTCCCCTTTGTCCTGCAGCACAACACATGCCTTTTGTTGTTTCTGCTTCTTTGAATGGTTCCTGATTTACATCATTATAGCTCAGAGCAGAGGCTGTCCCCAGCAATGGCAATGTGGTTATCCAGCTTTTAAGATTAGCATTTAATCCAGCGCATTTTTGTTTTTAGTATTAATTTGGTTGAGCATAATCTTTTCGGTGGTACCCAGGCTCTTTAGATGTGTGGGCACAGTATCCAGGGTGGTTTAGGAACAGATTTACGAAGGTGTTCAAGCAGCCCAGGCTGCAGTCTGGCGGGGTGTCCAGCTCCCTGGAGATGGGATATTAGGCCTCCGGGTGCCCAAGTGGCTAAAAATGTTTCTTTCTTAGGCATTAAGGACTGTGTCCTCACGAGGACCGAAGCACCAAACTCTGCAGGATCTCCGTGTAGGAGTCAGCTATCCAAATATTCCTCATGGCACGGGCTGGAAGCACAAATACAGCCCTGGGTCTGCATGCAGTACACAGGAACAGTGTTCTTTTTTTTTTTTTTGTATTGGTGTAGATATCCCAAAGTGACAAAATAGAGTATGATGTCCCCTGTAATTGATGGTTAATGCTAAGGTGTTACTTCTTTTCAACTACAAACAGGATCATACGGACAAAGGTGCAGCAGCCACCCAATCAGCAAGTCCCAGCCTCCAGTCACAGCATAGGTGAGAAAAACTTTTCTATATTAAAAAAAGAAAAAAGAAAAAAAAAAAAAAAAGCATAATGGATTACAAATATTCTAAAGAACTTTTAATCATTCTTATGGACAGATAATTCTGCATAAAACACTTCAGCACACGTGCTAATGCACCTTCTTTGTCATTCTCCAAGGACTGAACATAGTAAAGGAATTTTATAAATACTGCTAAAAGGTTTTGAATTTTAGTGATTATTATGATAAATAGCTTTCACTGTGAGACAGAAAATTGAAATCTAAACCAACCCCCCCCCCCACTAATGGGGGTCTATAGAATGTCAGATAATTAAAGTAATAAATCAAGAAAGGGATACTTATTCATAACGTTTTCTGCATCATTAGTCAGTAAGTAGTTCTGAATGTGTTTTTTTTTCATCTATCACCCATCCCTTCCATAATTCTTCGTGCACTTTGTGCTCTTGAGCCAAGGGGTAGCAAAACTTCCCAAAACTTCAATTCAGAGGGAGAGCAGCAATGCTCAGCCAGGAGCCAGTGCCGGAGGGGCCGAATCCAGAGAAGTGTCCTGGCTTTCTGCAAAGGAGAGCTGCTGCAGCCAGACATGTGCTGTGCGTGCCTCAGCTCCTCTGTGTCTCCATGCTGCAGAACGGGCATTCCCTTGCTGGCCTCTGTTAGCCAAGGCAGGCTCTGTGCTCACACAGACATCCGTGTGGCAGCACGGGCCTTTCTCCCCTTGCAAATGCCATAATGGTCTCTGAGGAGGTTAAGCAGCATCATTCCACTTTGTTAGCCTAGAGGCTGCTTCTCATGGAGAAAAAGTCAGAGCAAAATGGATTTACTTCATATTTTATTTTGAGGACCCTCAGGGTCTCTCAGCCAGCTGTGACCCACAGCTGGCTGCCCTGCCCCATGTCAACCCAGTGTCCCATAGAGGCTTGCTGCTGTGTGCTGGGCTGCAGACCCAGCGCAGCATCGTTGTGCCCACAGTGCTGGGAAAGACCGTTTGCACACTGTCCTTTCTCTGTGCCCCCAGACCCATCTGCCCAGGGTGCTGAGTGGCTGCTGCTGCTCGAAGCCTTCCCCAGCCTCCCATTCTGGCGACACGTGGTTTTCCTTTCAATCTGGTGCTGGTGCCATCCTGTGCTCTGACCACTTGTCCTTGCCTTGCAGCCTCCACAGGCTCCGTCACCCAGGTGTCCTCTGTCAGCACCGACTCTGCTGGCTCGTCCTACTCCATCAGTGGGATCCTGGGCATCGCCTCTCCCGGCACCGAGAGCAACAAGCGCAAGCGCGATGAAGGTAATGGCAGCTGTTTTCTTCTGGGGCACTGAGGTGGGCCCCCTCAGGTGTGCTTGGGGCTGGCAGGGCCGAGGGAGGGCTGCCAGTGATGGACTACGCCTGGTTGGGTGGCAGCAGCCCAGCCTGGGGTCCTCACGAAGCTATCTGCAGGAGAGCAGCGCTGCTATAGAAAGAGGGGCTGTGGATGTGTCACAGCTTTTGATTGCCTCCTCCCAGCTGACATAGCATCTCCCCGCCATTAATGAAAGGAAGGGGAATTCAAGGTTCTGTGGACACCTGACATAAAAAAAAAAAAAAAAAAAGCCAGGAAAGTGTCCCTAAACACAAAGAGACAGAAAATCATCAGCAGAGTCACACGTGTGAAAGCATGGCAGATGTTGGTTGCTGGCTGGGGGGCTGTGCTGCTTGCAGGGAGGCCATGCACGCTGTTCTGCTGTGCCACCATCCTGCTCTACAGAAGACTGAGCTCCTGCTTCTTGCCTTTGGGCACCTGTGTAACCTGCTCCAAGTCGTTTTGGAGAGCCTCCAAAGCTGGCCATGTGCATGCAGGTGTCACATCTGTGCCTCTACAGAGAACAGAAGTGGCCCCAGGGGGTTGTAAAGGAGGAGAAAAGAGGTTGTTTGCCAAGGATTGCCAAGCAATGAGGAGAAAGCAGTGGCGTTCACTGAGCCTGGGAGTCACTGGTTGGCCTTGTAGGAACACGGTGGATGTGAGACCAACCTCCCAACACCCTTGGCACTGCTTTGCATTCAGCTCAGCTCATGAGAGGTGGGGACCACACGGGGGTCCCGTGCCTGCCTCTCTACCTCCCAGTCCCTGGGTGAGGGAGAGGTGTGAGGGGTGGGAAGGAGCAGTAGCAGCACAAAGGTAACTTCTGGAGAAAATGGGCAGACGATCACTGAGGAGCCCGAGCTGTTTGAGGAGCAGGAAGGGGGCTGTTTGCAGAGGAAATGCACTGCTGGATTAGAGTCACGCTTGGTTTACTGAAACTGGGAGAGCTCTGTGGGGTTGATTTCAGCCGCATGCGTGTGAGTCGACAGCTGTGAAAGTTCAGGTACTTGATGAAATATATCTGTCTTAATTCAGATCTACCATTGCACATACGATTTTTTCCCCCAAATCAAGGCCATCAGTGCACACATAAATATCTATATTAAAGCAGATAGGGTAGAAATTTTGTGTTGTATCAGCCATGGAAGGAGAGAAGCATTCTGTGTTCCGAGACTGTCACAGCACTGTCCTGAAGCATCAGTTCTTAGGTAGGTATTCTTACAGAGACTCTCTTATTCAATCAAGAAGGAAGAAATTCTCTCCCTAATAGAGAAAAGATTGAAGTGCTTCCATGGAAAGACCAGAGGCATCTTTGAAAAATTCCCCAGCCTTTTGCAATTCATTATTAGAGATCACATAATTTATAAAACAACTCCCGTTGTTTTGGCAGCAGGAGTCATGATCTTTGAGGCTGCAAATTGGACAGCACTGCTGTCTTCAGCAGACCATTTAAACTACTTTTTAAAGGCTCACAGCTGCAGAAGTGGACAAGGTTGTGAGGAACAGCCTTTGTGCCTAACCAGCTACTTCAGCCTCTTTGTTTGAAGAGGTTCCTGGGGAGACTCTGTGGTCCTTCCTCATCCTGCTGAGCAAGAGGTATCTCTGCACAGCCAGGCATGAGATGTTCACAGAAGAGTCCCAGGGCTCCATGATGCAGGTGGCAGAAAGGTGGATCAAACGCTGGTGAAGAGAAGTCTGTCATCTCTAAGCTGCAGACTGTATCATGAAGCAGATGCACAAGGGGGCAGAGTTAACTTTACCTTTTTCTGACTTCTGAGAGCCAGAGGGAGACTACTCCCGTAGCAGTCAGTCCTTTTACATCATCTCTTTTTGAAGCACTGCTTCCCTTCTTGGTAGCTGTAGGTGCATGCCAGCTGCTGTAAGTTGGCATGCTTCGTGTTTCACGTATGAATAGAGCTATAGACTGTGCAGCACTTCTCTGGGCTGGGACGTGAGGTGAGGTGGACTCACCCCTTGGCTCTTCCAATGGCACTGAATACTTTTTGTGATTTGGCATCAAGTTTTGTTCCTCTCACTCTTGACGTTTTTTTTTTCTTTTTTTTTTTCAGCAAATGCCACCAGTCTTTAACACAGCAGGGAGCTTGCTGTACAGCAACTAGGGGCAAACCAAATCAGACAGTCTATTGGTTATATAACCAAAAGTGTCATTTTTTTTTTTTTCCCCCTGCTGTAATGCACACTTGGAGCAGATGTGCCTTCATAGGGGATCAGTTGCTTTCACTTGTGGTTAGAGGACATGCTACTGGAGACTGACACAAAAAGCAGGCTGCTGTGTAACATGGCAGAGTGTTACTGTCAACCTCCTTAGTTTCAAGCAGCAGATGCTGCTGGGAAGCAGTCTTGCTGTTTTGCTTTCAGATTCCATCCTTTAGCTGTGTGTATTCACATGCACGTGGCCCCATGAATTAGGAAGAAGAACAGGTGGAGCAGAAAGGTGCAGATTGATCCGATTGAGTGGGTTTTTATGGGACACCAAGGATGGACATGCTGGCAGGCAGTGAGGCCCTGTGTCAGAGTGAGCAGTGTGTTCTATCAAGGGTTTGCAGCTGCTGGTAGAAAAGGAACTGATGTTACTGCAGGTTTCCATCCTGCTTTCTGCAGAGCTCTGCAGGTACAGGAGAGCCAACAAAAGCAGTTGATTTCAATAGAGTGACTTTCCCTGCAGGTTCATGCTGTGCCAGCTGAGAGGGTTCATGAAACAGATGCACATGCCAGACCAGACAGGGGATGTGGCTCTCATCTGAGATGTTCCTGTGAACTGATGCTTTCACTGCAGCGTCACTCCTCCAAAGCCATGACAAAGCTCAAAACCCTTGTTTCCCTGAGGGCTGTGTGTTGTGTAAAGAGGCATGCTGTGCATAGTGCTTCTTTATAAGCTGGGTCAGTACCCCTGGGGCAAGGGGAGCATACGGGCTGGTAGTCCTGCATGCAGCAAGGTCGAGTTCCATAGTGCAGCACAACCCTTTGCTTTACAGAGGACTTGAGCTGCTCAGCGTGAACACGGTCCTGTCAGCTGCTGTTTGTACATCAGGTCTACCAGCAAGGACAGTTGCCATCACGAGTGGCCCAGGGACCAGTAGAGGGAGGCTCCTTTCCCATCCCCTTGTAGAGAGACGTGACTCTCAGTGAATTTGTAACGTGATGCTGAAAGAATTGGGTGAATTTCTGTTCTCATGGCTCTTCCTTGCTTTACACAATGCATAGATAATCTCTTTACGTGGCAGTGAGCAAACACTGTGTCTTTTGATAGTTGATTGCATGCCTGGACGTTAGTCTTCTACCAAGAAGTCAGTTCTGCATCTGTAGATATTTGCATGCTTTTAGCACGCTAGCCCTGTCCAAGCCCAACAGCCTGGTGATGTGGAAACATATTTGTGCTCTTGCATCTGACAAAAAAACTATGGAACTTACTGATACCAACAGGTTGTAAGGGCACTCTGTGAACATCAGCAGCAGCCGAGTCAGGCTGAAGTCTGTCTGCATGCAGTAGGCAGTAAGTTCAGGACTTTTGCTGTGTCAGTCCACACTGTTAAACACCAGTCCACACTGGTGTTCAGGCACAGCCACTGGCTGGCCCCAGTACGAACCCCTATGGTTAGTATTGCCTCAGCGTGATTTTGTACTGTGCAAGTCGCCATCCTCCTGCTCAGTGTCTGCTACTGCAGAGATTGGCACAGTTTGGACCTTGCTTCTGCTGCTCAGCGTGTGTGCAGCTAATATATTACAGTGGATAAGGGAGTTTCATTTTTTTACAGGCTCACAGGCTGTGCTTGAACAGTCAGCCTGTTTTTCCTTGGGCAGATGCAGCTGGTGAAAGGAAAGAGCTGCACGTAACACTGAATGGCTTGCAGCAAAGTGTTGGCAAGGCAGGAGAATCTAGCAAGAAACTGTCAGTAAAGTCCTGCACAGGAAGCGTGCATGTCTGTTACCCACCCACATCCTCTTGCTCGCAGGAGAGATTTGGCAGATTTGAGCACCTGCACAGAACAGCTCAGCTGACCATTTTTCAAATGCACTGGTGTGGAGTGATGCAGGCTGATGCAGGCTGATGGGGAATTGAAACTGCCATGGCAGGAGACCTTTGTTCGTAAGGGGTTGTTTGTTTTGTTTCCATTTTCTGCAGCCACAGCCTTGTGTTGCTCTCAGCATCTGATACCATGATGTAGATGTTTATGCTTCTTTTGCTGAACTCAGTTCTTTGAAATACGCCTTTTCTTTAACTGCAGTCTAACCACAGACTTTGTATGCTTAAAGGTAGTTGGGTCACAGCCTTCTGCTGAAGAAGGTAAGCCAACAAGAGGAGCAGAGATGCTAAAGAGAATGAAAAGAAACCTCGCATGCATGTGTGTGTGTGTGTCTCTGCACAACCCAATGCCTGATAAAGCCATCCCATGCTATGATCATCACATTTTCACACAGGGATGCCCCAGCTTAAGCACATTTCTAGGCATCCAGGCAGTTCCAATCCATGCAGCCTGCTGAAGCTGCAGGACACATTTCCTGTGGTGCCCATGAGCCAGTCTCACACTGAGGGTTTGTAAATTCTAGGAGTAATTGCATCACCAGCACAACCATGGCCTCCCACTGTGAATGAATAAAAACTGTAAGCATTACAGACAGGCACAGGTGAGAATGCTACTTTACAGAGCACTGTGACATCAGCTTCCAGAAAAGCCTAACCCAGAGGAAGGCCAACAAAAAGTAGGAGCTGACAGCAGAGGGAGAAGTGGCAGAGTGCTGCACTGGGAAGCAGATCCGATCTAGAATGGTAGCCTGCCTCTTTCTCCTAAATTGCCTGTCACTTTTTGGGGAATGGGTTGGAAAGCCATTGGAGGGACCTGGCTTCAGGAGAGATGAGAGATGAAGAGATGCCTGGGAAGTCAGAGCAGGGGCTCTCTGTCAGGATACAGCTTTCCAAGTCTTCATA